CCAGTTTAAGGCCAGACTGGGTTGCTTTGAAAACAAAACAAAGAGAAAGAGAGAAAGGGGGGGGGAGAGAGAGAGAGAGAGAGAGAGAGAGAGAGAGAGAGAGAGAGAGAGAGCGCCTTGCGAATACAGTGTGGCTGTGGTGGACCATGAGGTATTTGCTCTTACCGGACCACAGGGTCCCATCAACAGCCAGCGCACCTCCACCCGTCTTGCTTGCAGCTGGGTTCTTGCAGCTTTCCTGTTGTCTATGGCTATTTCACAAAGGCTCATGGCATGCATGCCTGCATGCGGAGACGTCTACATGCACGCACACTCTGGCCCCTGCTGCAGCCCCACCTTGGCAACCACATATACACACCCTCATTCCAGGTCTCAACTATTCTGTTTCTGAAAGGCATCCCGATAGCTGAGACCACACTCGACGGAAACTCCCCTGCTGCACACAAAGGTCCTTAGTAAAACAACTTCTTTGCCTACAATCCATGCACTGTTTACAAAGCCCCGCCACTCAGGGAAATGTACTGAATGAAGTTCTGGATACCTAAGAAACTTTAATAACTGGTCTAGTGTGGGGTGAACCTGGAAACTAATGTTTCATCTTGCTACTGGCTTCACCTAGAAGCAAGAAAAGTGGATTAATGGGACACACACACACACACACACACACACACACACACACACCCCTAACACACAAACCTGAGGAAGTTATCTCTTTTCCTTTTTATTGGGAATCTGGCAGTGGCACACAGATGTGTCCTACTTCTGAGACAGCCCTCCTTCCAACCCCTTCCCCATTTCCTAGTAAATGGATTCTAAATCAACCTTTCCCAGCTGCCCTAGGAATCACTGCTGCCCTGTTTGACCAGATAGAGACTTTTCCTTTAGAACTGTTAAGACAGCCACAGGACACGTATGCACACTTCGGTCAACACTGAAAGTCCAGAGAGATTAGATTCCTAGATGCCTTATGATGTCTACACAATGAGACAATCACATGGTGATTGTCCTGTTGTCAGGTGGCACATAGTTGGAGCAAGGTGGTTATCTTGTCTCTAAATATTATGTCCATCCTGAATTTCACGCGGCAATGAAAAGAATCAATGTTTTAGTCAACCAGCCAAATGAACAACTTATACCAAAAAAAGACCATAAAACCTGTAATTTAAAAAAATTTAAAGGAAATCAATGCTAATTCTACCTGCTTTGTGAAGCAAGCTTTCACGATGTGGAACAGAAGAAACAGTCATAGAAAGCCTCATTCTTGGCCACTCTCAGTCTGTGACAGTCCCTGCTGCATTAGTTCCCCCACCCCCCCAGGAATGGCACAGAGGAAATGACAAGATTACAGGAGAGACTCGCAGTGTAGGAAAGGTGGCCATTAATGAGACACCATCTTTCAAAGGCCCAAAGTGAAGGGGCTGGGAGCACAGCTCCAGCAGTATAATGCTTGCTGACGGAAGCAGGAACTCCCTCTCCAGAAGCTCTGAGCTTATAATCACAGCCAGCATGGGGCAGGCAAAGACAAATGGATCCCTGGGGCTCACTCCTAGTTTAATTACTGAGTTACAAGCCAATGAGAGGCCTTCTCCTCCACACCCAAGAAAGAAAGGAAGGAGGGAGGGGTGGGAGGGAAAGAGACAGGACAGCAGAAGAAATACCAGAGATGACCTCTGACCCCTGCCAGCACCACCAAACCCTCTACACGGGGGGGGGGGGGGGGGGTGGGGGGGGGGGGGTGTTCAGATTCAAATCTCAGTCCATCACAGCCCAATAGCCCAATGTTCTCAAAGCAGGAGACTATAAAATGGGTAAAAAATGCATTAAAGGAAGAATCAGTCAAGTACAGGGTGTGCCCCTGGAAACTCGTTCTCACCAGTGAACAGAACCCAAGAAGGGAAGACTTCACTGATACCAGCCGTGACAAATTGACAAATGCTGGGCGGCTCTGGGTATCTCAGATTGGGGAACACACAGGGACTGCCATCTAAACCACATTTCTGGCATGTGCCACACCACAGATGACAAGCAAGCAGAAGCAAATGATGTCCACGCCCCCATGAAGAACTTAGGGTTTTCTATTGCTGTGAAGAGACACCATAGACACGGCAACTCTCCTAAAGAAAACATTTAACTGGGGTGACTCGCTTACGGTTTAGAGGTTCAGCCCATTATCGTCATGACACAAAGCACGGCAGGTGTGCAGGCAGACATGGTGCTGGAGCTGAGGCTGCTACACCTTGCTTGCAACAAGAAGTCATCTGCAGTCACACTGGGGTAAGCTTGGGCAAAAGAGATCTCAAAGCCCAACTCCACAGTGACACACATGCTCCAACAAGGTCACACCTCCTTGTAGTGCCACTCTTTTGGGGGGCAATTTTCTTTCAAACCACCACAGCAGGTTCCAGATGGGAAAGAAATTTAGGTGTTTGTTTTTTTTTTTCTCGAGGCTACAAGACTAGAAGAGAACCCTTTATGTAAGGACATATGATCAGACAAGGAGACCAAATATAATTTTGATCCGTGTCCATTACTAAGCAGTCAACCCAAAGCCTGTCTGCCTGGGTAGCAGCATTCAAGAGACAGGGAATCCTGAAGAGGATGTTGTCGGGGTTACATGGAATTGAGTACTTAGTTCTCTCCCCCTGGAATGGGCCAATCAACAGAAATAACATGGAGGGAAGAGAGTAGATGGCAACCAGACCCAAAAGGTGAACCATGGCTGAGGCCATCGCGCTGAGAACGACAGTATTTGTCCAGAGATAACTCAGTACGCAGGTACAGAAGAGAGCTGACTCAGGGACCTCTATGCAGATTCTTTTAAGAGTATACGTGCTAAAAATCTCAACATCCATACACAGATGTGTAAGTTACTCTGAGGACCAAAGGAGCTATCCTTAGATCAAAACCGATTAACTAAGTACTTTGCCTAATAAGTCTTTTGTTGGGACCCACATCTCCATACTGACTCCATCTAGGATGAATTGAATGACTCATTTGGGCTAATGATGGGCATAAAACTGAGAAATGGTCCAGAATTCAGAAGACTTTGTAAAACAAACATAACATTTAGAGAGAGCCCGTCACTCTGGCCCAGGACACACTACCCAGCCTTGGCTTGATTTCTCCTGTGAGGGAGAATTCATCACTTTGTGAGACCTATTTTGCCATACACAAGTTCACCCTAAACTGAATAGTAGTGGTGGTGCATGCCTTTATTCCCAGCAGAGGCAGGTGGATCTCCTTGAGTTCAAGGCCAGCTTGGTCTACAGAGCAATTTCCAGGACAGGCTCCAAAGCTACACAGAGAAACCCTGTCTCAAAAAAACAAAACAAAGCAAGTTCCTCCTAACCTGAGCTGTGCAGACCAGGCTAGCTTTGCGCTTTCAGGGATCTTCCTATCCCTGATCTCAGAGTGCTGGGCTATAGGCAGAAACTGCCAAACCCAAAAGAGATGCATCTTGAGTAGGCAAGATGGCATAGTGGGTAAAGAGGCTTTCCGTCAAACCTGAGAACCCAAGTTCAGTCACTAGGGCCCACATGGTAGGACAGAAAAGACTTCGGGAAATGGTCTTCTAGTCTCCATAGGTGTCAAACATAGAAACAGAGAGAGAGAGAGAGAGAGAGAGAGAGAGAGAGAGAGAGAGAGAGACAGAGAGAGAGAGAGAGACAGAGAGAGAGAGAGAGACAGAGAGAGAGAGAGACAGAGAGAGACAGAGACAGAGAGAGAGACAGAGAAACAGAGAGTAAATAAACTATAATGTAATTTTAAAACTTTAAGTAAGTGAGTCTTTTCTAGTATACAGTGACTTCCTCTTTTGAAACACATTATCAAGACTATACTTTCAGGGATCATTTCTATAGTTCGTTGAAACACATTATCTCAAGTCAATTACAGGGCCATACACATATAATTCTAGTACTTGAAGAGACAGAGTCAGGAGGCTATCAAGTTAGGGCCAGCCTAAGCTACGTAGCAAGAGGCTCTTCCAAAATAGGCAAAACCCAGAGCCCCTATGGTAGGCTAGTTGAGTTTTTTAGTTCCCGTTCTGCTGCCTTACTCTCCAGGTATGAATTCAGAATGAGTGCTCAGCAAGCTACAGGCTCTGGGGTCAAACCACCGTTTTCTGACTTATATAAAAACTAGCAAAGTTAATTCATGCCCAGAAACCACTCTGTCTATACTGACAACACAAATGAAACAGAACCTGGCCAAGCCTCACCGCTAGTGCAGAACCAACAGACTCTCAGATCCTCAAGCCAACATTTAGGAGCTGCCGCATTCACTGCCCTTTATCAACCTCTTTATCAACCTCTTCTCTGATAACCCCCACCACACACTATCTGCTCCACTCAAAGACTGCAGCCTTCAGGGACCACAGGTGACCAGCCCAGGGCACACAGATTCCTCGGGTACAAAATACCTTACACCAAAGAAGAACGAAACAAAATTCCTTGTCCCTATATGAACCACACTACACTCAGTCTCTGAAGTACGACTCAAATCCTATCACCAGCGTGGTGACACACGTTTTTAGTCCCAGCACTTGGGAGGAAGGCCCAAGAGGATCTCGGGTGCCAGCCTGGTCTACAAAGCCAGGACCAGGACAGCCAGGATCTCTACACAGAGAAATTCTGTCACGAAACAGAAGAGAGCAACACAAAAGCATGACTCGAACCCTAAACCCGAAGTTAGTTCAGAGCCTTTGGTCTGCAGTAGACGGCTTCCCTTGAAGAGCCGGCCCCCTGCCTTCAGCAGCCTCCCGGAGGGTTACTCCCTCCGGTTTCTGGGACAACAGTTTGTCTTTCTGACCATTCTCCAAGGACAAAGGCCAGATGCCCCCTCTTCTGCTTCCCAGAGCTCTCTCACACACGGCAGAAACAACCGAGGCACATCACCCCATTCTCAGCCATTTCTCTCCCCCCAACCCCCACCACCACCTACACACACACACACACACACACACACACACACACACACACACACAGTTTCTCTGCACTTACCTTTCTTGGCGCACTCGGGGACTCAGGAACCTGCTGGAGTCATCGTCGTGGCTGCTCTGCTGGCTGCTCTGCTGGCTGCTGAGGGAAGACACAGGATGTGAACCGTTAAAACTGCTCCTGCTTTCTCAACCCCGGGGGAGGTCGTCCAGACCTCAGCTATACAAAGAAATGAGGTTACAAAATCAAGCGAAAGCAGAGTGTTCCTGTGGAAGCAGCGGTGTGAGCTGAGAAGACAGTAACCAGCTGAAAGTCACTCTCACGACATCCAGAGTATCTCTGCAGCTGCCCAGGCTGGAGAAGGAAGAGCCTAACCAACAACCCAGGTCCCTAGGCACGCAGGCCTCGGTAGCTTTGAGGCTTTCATCTTTGTGGTTTAAGCTTTCTACTGGGACCGGGACCCAGTCTTCCTCAACCCGCCCAAGGCTGGTTTAAGGGAGGAGACTGCCAGAAGGCACAGACTAAAGATTCTGCACCACCTTACTAGGTCCACTGCCCTGCCCCCAGGGAGGGCAAAATCTCTAAACTTCCTATTCTGTGGGCTAGAGGACTACAGAGCTCAATTCAAAAGCAGAGCTCTGAAGCTGGGCGGTGGTGGCACACACCTTTAATCCCTGCTTTTGGGAGGCAGAAACAAGCAGATCTCAGTGAGTTTGAGGTCAGATTGGTTTGCAAAGTGAGCTCCAGGACAGAAGGGACTACAAAGAGAAGCCCAGTCTCAAAATAAATAAAATAAAATAAATAAAAAATAAAAAAAACTAAAAGCAGAATTCCTTAAGGAGTCTATACAACATATAAATATATCTAAAACTTCTTTTAATAGAATTTTGCTCCAGGGCTGCTGAACCATGTAATTTTATATTCTTATCAAGCAACACCGGGACAGGAGCTGGAGAAGAAATTCCAAGTCGCTTGGCTCTAGAGGCAAGCCTCAACAGAGTGTGCCAGTCTACTGCTAGGAAAGCGCAGGAGTGTCTAAAGTTCAGGGTTTATGCCCTTTATAACAGTCAACGGGCTCAACGAACCCAAACGACCATGAGGAGTATCACAGCCTCTCGGAGAAATAGGCTGGCTTTGATATACTTCGGCATAACAGGCTGCTACTTCATGCTCACCCTACCCTTCCTCTGGCAACCAAAACTTAAAATTAAAAGAGAGCCCAAAGTCAGGCGGTGGTGGCGCACGCCTTTAATCCCAGCACTCGGGAGGCAGAGGCAGGAGGATCTCTGTGAGTTCGAGACCAGCCTGGTCTACACGAGCTAGTTCCAGGATAGGCTCCAAAGCCACAGAGAAACCCTGTCTCGAAAAACCAAAAAAATAAAAAAATAAATAAAAGAGCCCAGACCAAACGATAATCAATATACCAGTTTCAGAATAAGCAATGTTACCAAATTATTCCACTAGATGGCACTGTTGTTTCCCAAATCGCAACCAACCCAACGCCACAGTCACCGTAATGAGTCAATTTTTGGGCGCCCTCTTCTGGTCTTCCCATGGTTTTGAAAATTCAGTTTACAGAAAATAAAAACTGGTGGCCTTCAAAACGTGTACTGATTCCAAGTAACTAATAAATACCAACTGAGGGCCAACAAGATGGCTCAGCTGGTAAAGACACTTCCCTCTAGGTCCTGAGACTGGCAACCTGAGTTCTGTCCTCAGAATTCACACCACCTACCAGAAACTGTCTCTGGTGCACACAAACACACACACACACAGAAATTTTTTTTTTTTTTAAAAAAACCTCTCCAAAACCACAGAGAAACCCTGTCTTGAAAAACCAAAAACAAACAAACAAACAAAAAAAAAAACAGCCTGCACACATTCAACAATTATGGATATGCACTTTTAAGCCAACAGGAAGCAGCAATAAGGCAATGACTGAGTCTAGACCACAAAGCCGGGGGCCACATGGGAAGGGGAGACGTCTACAGTGTGGCGTTACTCTGCTGTAGATTGAATTCACACTTACTTCTCCACTTCCTACTTTATGACTGAGTGAGTTCTTTCCCAACCTTCTCCTCCGCTGCTAGAGAGAGAGCTCACTGATAGACAGTTCCGTCAGGCTTGAGGACAGCACATGGTAAGCGTGGAGACCCGTGTCTGGCACACACGAGAACGGCCGTGGAATGCCAGATGGCACGCGTTTTGTAGAGGACGACGCAGCAGTCGACGTGGGACCAGACATGGGCTCTGCTTTCAAGAGTAAAAAAAATGGTGGCTCTCACAAAACAGGAGATAACAAAAGGTCACTTCTTTCTGGGTTCCAGCAAAGCAGAGTGTCTCAACAGCAAGCTTTCTGCGTTGAAACTTAAAAGCGGGTGGAGTCAAGCACGGCGGGATACACCTGTCACCCCAGCACTCGGGACACAGAGGCAGGACAGTTCAAAGCTAGCTGAGTCCCAGACTCAGAACCCACATTTAAAAAGCCAGTTGTGGCGGCTCGTGCCTATAAACCCAGTACTGGGAAGGCGGACACAGACAGATCTCTGGCACTCACTGGCCAGTGAGAGACCCTGTCTCAAAAAGCAAAGTAGATAGCACCTATGGAAGGACTCCTGAGGCTGATATCTGGCTATGCACGCACGCACGCACGCGTGCGCACACGCACACACACACACACACACACACTTAATGAATACACTAGAGGGAGCCAACAGACTCCTGGTTTTGTTCCCCACGTGCCTTCTACAACAGAGGTTTATCTTGGATGGTCTCATTAACACTCTCACCACTGGGAAGGGCTGGGGATATCCATGGTAATTCACGAAGTGCGCTTCAGAAGGCAGGTCAGGTCCGGAAGCTTTGCAATGCATGCTGGACAAATTCCCTTGACTCCACTGTATGACCATCCTCCTCCTCACTCCAAAGAACAGAGACATACAGAAAGACAGGCTATCTTCACAAACCACAAGCAGATACCCTTGTGCTCTCGGAAGACCCAGCTTGATGACTGGGGAGATGGGACTGAGAGCCTTTGGATATTTTAGCTCAGTATCTCATTTTATTTTTGCAGTGCTGGGGATGGAGCCCAGGACCTTGCGTGCGTGCGTGCGTGCGTGCGTGCGTGTGCGTGCGTGTGTGTGTGTGTGTGTGTGTGTGTGTATTTTAAAGCGGCCTACCGTAGAGACGTCAGCTTGCTTTTATTCCGAGACACTCTCACTGTTTCCCGGCTTGACCTTGAACTCACTAGGTAGCCCCCCCCCCCCCCCCCCAACTCTCAAGCCTCCTGCTCCAGTTTCCCCAGCAGCCCAGATTCCAGGCGCGGTCCACCACATCCTGCCCAGCCCCATTTTCTGAAAGGACGTTTCCTGAGTTGAGTCAGCTCTTCCTCTCCCAGGCAATGATGCGCTGCTCTCCTAAGCCTGGGGAGCTTTTGAGACTTCGGTGGACCCAAGCTGCCATGAGGCTTGCCAGATGAAGTTCAGTATTCCCCGAGCTTGATGGAAGCCACCCACACCGAGTCTGCAGACTCAAGTGCCCGTTTCTCTGCTTTTGGCAATAATCTGCAGACGGCTGCATTAGCAACAATTATCTCATGCTAATTGGGAGTTTCAAAACACTGCAAGTGACAGTTACAGCTGTCTTTGATTAATCAACAAGGAGAAATAAATTCTCTCAGGCTGTGGATGTGGTAGGAACAGATGAACTGGGTTTTCCCTGACTTGGCTTCTTATTGGCCTTCTAACCCCAGCCGGCTCACTTAATCCTCTCTTAGCCTAATTCCTCAAGAAATGGAGACTTAGGGTGTTTAGTCACTACCTAATCCTTGGTTTATAGAGCTAGGGATTAAGTTGCAAGGAATCCGATCATCATGCCCCAGATCACGGAGACTCCAATTCTCGTCTGGACTCTGCCACTTAGCAGACGAGATGGGATTTACTTTTTGGAAAGGGCAGATGTGCATAACAGCACATGGCCTGAGGGTAATGTGGTTTAGAAACGGCAGAGGCCCTGGCAGGTGGGGAATACCAATTGCACAGAATGGCCACAGGTCGCTTGACCAACAGATACTGTGACACTGCCCAGGAACCACAGGGCAGTAACAGAGGTCAGGCAGTGACAGAGGTTTTTGCTGTGTGCTCTTGTTTTAGAGGTGTCAGTGTCTTTGAGGGCCCCAAGCATGCTAGGCTAGTTCTCGACTGTGGAACTGTCATATCGGCAGAGAGGAAACTTTCTTTTTGATTTTCTTTTGAGTGGGAGGGTATATACATGTCACAACATATGCGTGGAAGTTGGAGAACAACTTACAGGAATCCGTTCTGTCCTTCCAGTGTGTGGGTCCCAAGAATGGAATTCGGTCCTCAGGGTTAATGGGAGGCACCTTTCCTTACCTACTGAGTCATTTCCCTCAGCCCCAAGAGACAGGATCATTGAGAAAAATGTCCCGAGTCACTGGCTCGAAAAATAGAGTCAGACCATCACCATTGGAAGAGAAAACTGCATTTCCATGCTGAATTATTTTCACATATAAAATAATCCCAGCACTCAGGAGACAGAAGCAGGCGAATCTCTATGAGTTTGAGGCCAGCCTGCTCTACAGAGCATGTTCCGGGACAGTCAGGGCTATGCAGAAAAGACCTCTCTCGAAAAACCAAAAGGTAAGAGAAAAATAAAATAAACTGACTCTAGTGTTTCCAATTTTGGTTTGGGTAGGGAAGTCACATTCAGAAAGAGAAAGGGGGTAGCAGAGAAGTGGAGAATAAAGAAAGTCCGTTTCTGTTTGTCACCTGGCAGGCAAGTACGGGAAGGTCTAATAATAGAAATAAGCACACAGATGTGATAGGGGCATTGTGAGTGACTGCCAGCCTCTTACACAACACACCCAATAGTCTCAGAGAGTACTTAGAAAATCACAGGCTGGAAGCAAACTGCCAATCTGCCTACAGGGTTTGGAGGCTCAGTTCTTCTTAAGGGCTCCCAGGAGACTCTCCAGCTAGAGGGGAAGCTGGACAAAGATTTGGGGATTCGGAATGCAGCTCCGTACTCCCCTCACTCGCCCAAACCCACAAACACTTTCACTTCTAAACATGTCAGTGTCTGTGCTTTCTTTGGTTCCGGTTTGCCCTGCTCTGTATGAGACA